GAAAATTTCTTCACCATCACCACACTGACTTCATACTTTGATACTGCTAAATATAAACATAGTACATCCCCTTCGCAAGGCCTAGTCAAGATCCATGGCTGTTGTAGTGACTGTTTCAACAATTCAAGAGACAACTCACACTTATTGGTCCATTCAAAGTTGGTAGAGCCCTTAGTTTCCTTTAAGAAGTGGTAGCACTTATTTGCTGCTCAACCCATGAAATGATTCAACGCTACTACCCGACATGTTAGCATTTGGACGTCATTTCAACTTTCAGGGCTTTTCATTTCTAGAATAGCTCAAATTTTATCTAGGTTTTCTTCAATGCCTTTGTGTTATCATAAAACCCAAGAACTTTCCACCCACTGTACCAAAAACACACTTCTCAGGATTGAATTTTAATCTATTTCATTGGGCAACTTCTAACACTTTCTGTAAATCGGTCACATGGTCATTGGCCTTGGTACTCTGAATGACCATGTCATGTATGCTTCAATAACATTCCTAACTAGGTCTCTGAAGACCTTATTCACCATTCTGTAATATGTTACTCTGACATTTTTCAAATTAAATGGCATAGCCGTATAATAGTACGTCCTAGAATCAATTATGAAAGATGTTTTCTCCTAGTCCAACTCAACCATGGAGATTTGATGGTACCTAGAAAAGGCATCTATAAAACTTAATCGTTCCTGATCAGACGTGGTATCCACCAAGTGATCTATTATGGGTAGCTGATATGAGTCTTTTAGACACACTTTTTTCAACCCCATGTAATCTACTCAAATGCGCCATTTTTCATTCAATTTTTTCACAAGGATGACATTCGCCAACCATTCGGGATATTAAACTTCCCCGATGAACCCTACCTGCAGCAGCTTTTCAAATTTTCCCTTTGCTGCTGTCGTTCCTATGCAAGGCTTTTTTTTTTTACTTTACCACCTTAGCACCTAATTAATCACCAAGATGATGTTGAGTGCATGATGGGTTGATCCTTTGAATATCATTTGGGCACTATGCAAAAACATCCAAATTGCTAGATAAACATTTCACCAATTCTTCTCTTTATTCTAACTTCAAGTCTGCCCCAATGTTAAATTCACATCGTTCTGCCATCAAATTTGCCCCATTGAAGGCTCGAGATCCAACATCGTACCTGGTGGAGATTCCTTAGCTTGTATACTGTCAACATAACACTTTCTCGAAAATTGTTGGTTTTCCCTCACACACCCAACATTGCGACTGGTTGGGAATTTCATAACTTCATGATAAGTGGAAGGAATGGCACCAAAAGCATTTAGCAAAGGTAGACCGTAGATTTCATTATATGCCATGGGGGTCTTAACAACTAAGAAGTTTTCCAGGATCACTATGCTTGTAGGATAAATGCCTTATGTCACTGGGAGCTCCGCAGCTCCTTCTGGTATGAAAGTGGCCCCTTTAAATCCTTTGGGATGGTGGATACTGTTCTCAATCTTTTCGGGAAAAATTTCAATCCCACAAAGGCTTCCCAAGTAAGGACATTTGCTGCCCTACCACCATCAATCAACACCCTATTGACATCATAATTCGCTATGTCACCAATGATCAACAAAGCATCGTCTTAGGGGGTTGCCACATCGATTAAATCTTCCTCTCTAAAAATGATGCTTTGATCGAACCTCGCCTTCTCCTGAATGGTTCAGACCCCAATTGTGTGAGCATAACTCTTTCTAGCTGAGTTTGAATCCCCATTGGCCATGATTCCTTCAATTATCACATTTATTACACCTGTCTTAGGTGTTGGGCCATCGTCATCCTTTTGCTTGCCTCGATCATACTTTATATACTTAGTCAAGAGCCCACGATTCAAGAGACATTCGATCTCCTCTTTCAAATGGATATATTCTTCTGTGTCATACCCATAGTCCCTATGGAAATGGCAATACCTGCTATTATCTCTCTTGCTAGAGGACACTGCCATTGGTTTTGGCCAGTCAAGCTCTTTCATATCTTGAATTTTCATAAACACCTTTGCCCGTGGAGTATTTAAATGAATGAAGGCCTTGACCTTATCTCACATCGGCCTGATGGACCGATCTTGAGCACACCTCTTGTTCATGAGCTCATTTTTTGGTTTGCCTTATTTAGAGGGTTTTCGCTCATCACTTGACTTTTGCTTGTGACTTTCTACTTTGCATCCTTCCCTGAGATTTTTCGTGACCTTCTCTACTTTATTTGTGTCACCGTACTTGTCACACTTTTTCAGTAGGTCATGTATCGATTCCAGAGAATTTTTGGAGAGTGACATCTAAAAGCCCTGGTTCCGCATCCCATTCATCCACGTTGTTACTACTGTAGACATGTGAAGGTTATTTATGCCAGTGTCACTTGGCTAAAACTAGCCAAGTATTACAGCAAAGATTCATATTTCACTTGTACAACCTGCATCAATCTAATGGTTGTCTTTCTCTTCCTCTTACTACTCAAAAAGTAAGCCACAAAACTTCTATAGAAGTCATCAAATGTTTTGATAGACCAAGGAGCCAAAGTGGCCACCTAGTCTATGGCCTCTCTCTTGAGTATCAGAAGAAAAGACCGGTACATCACTACATCCAAGGCTGCATAGAGTCTCATTAAATCAACAAAAACCCGCAGGTGGTCAAGCAGATCCGTGACTCTGTTGTATGTCTCTATCATCTGCTATTTGAATCATTCGATAGAGGGACTGCCATGATCTTGAGTGCAAATGGATCACTTGCTTTCGCCTGTCCTTTCTCTTAGATAATGCATCCTCTATCTTTTGAGCCATAGGGCAATGATGGCGGGTCGTGACCCCTTGCAATGGAGCCCCGACTCCATATCTGTTATATTTTGGACCATGCGCATTTTAATCCTAGTCAGTCTCATTCACATAGCTTTACTATTTAATGAGTTTCCCACAGACAGCGCCAATGAAATGGTTATGAAACAAGCCTCTGTGCGCTCCGATGATGCAAGGTACTTTTGCTACTCCGATGAACAAATGTTACCTACAAAATGAGGTTAGGGCCTGCTCCCCCATTTTACCTCTGGTGTGAGAATTAGTGAGGGATTTAAGAATGTAGTCTTAGGAAAAAAGATCGAATGTGTATTCAGATAGCCAGAGTTTCAAGATCTATACATATCTCGCCTTAAGAGTATTTATAGGTGTCTAAAGCCATACAACAACTGGGCGGTTATCTTGCCATGTGTCCCACGTAGCACTTCTCACCACCTTCACCTTTTGAGCAGAGGACCTCCACCTATCAAACGGTTGGTTGTGTCCATAATAATAGTTGAACGGTTCATATCCAACAAAATGATATTTTTATGGTTATGTGTTACATTGAACTTGTAGTGGTAAACGGCCTAACATGCAAGTGGAGGGCCTTGTAGTAGTAGATGACCTTAGAATGATAGATGATCCAGGATACGAGTAGAGGGTCTCATAGTGGTCGAAGGCCGGTGTGGACGTGGAGGGCCTCATAGCAACAGACGACCCAAAATGAATGTAGATGGCCTCATAATGGTAGACGGCCTAGCTTGAATGTAGATAGCCTCATAGTGGTAGACGTCCAAGCTTGGGATACTCTACATAGAGTGCAAATTGAGTAGTCTTTTCCTTGTTGGCCATAGTAGATAATTGTTGGTGCCTCTAATTTCAACTAGTAAATAAGATCTAATAAAACTTTGTTTGAAGATTAATGAAAGGAAAGAAAGAAAGAAACATAGAGAAGAATATGTTGTCACACGTGACATGCCAGTAAAAATGTGGTAGAATCCATAAGAATATTTTGGCAATTTGTTGAAGTAGACAATGAGTGCCCCATTGAAACAAACAAGCGAACACTTGAGCTTCACAATCCTGAAAACCACCAGCACTTTGATTGAGATCAAAAAAATTATTGGAAAGGTTGGTAAATGGTAGCTTGCTTTTTAATTTTTTATCGAATCCTTGACAAGTCTGCATACCCTTTGTCTTTATTTACAAGAATGTTTGGGATGACTTATTTCATGTTTGTAAGCACGAGAGAGGAGGTGTCCTCCATAACTTTTCCTTTCTCCCACCTCAAATAATTTTTCTCCATGTACTTATAAGCTTGAAAATAAGTAAAGCCATTTGGCTAAGCTTAAGCAAGTTATGGAAGTAAGCTATTTTAACTAGTAAGTTTTATTTCCAAATTAGAGAACATTTTTTTCTTAATGATGAAATATATCCAAAACGTTTATAATGAGAATATTATTCAATCCATTAGTCAACAATTTTTTACAAATTTTACAGGCAGAAGTTCTAGATAAAACAAAAATCATTTATATATTTTCTATTGGAATGCAGAAGTTGAGGAAGCTTAAGGACATCGAAGAAGTGAGCATTGAATTCTTAGAAAGTTTGGATAGTATCCAGAAGATGACTTAAATCAAGCTTTTTATTATTTCGCCCAACTAGATGTTAATTTAGTTTTTATGATTATATATATGTCAAAAATAACAAAAGGCAAATTGAGGGATAAAAACCTCCCTATAATTTGAACTGGAATCCAAGTAGAGTATAAATGTCTTATCACGCCATATTTGAAAAGCATTTCATTCTCATAACCGATCCCTTCCTAGTGAAAGGTGTGCTTCAATTGAACGTGGTAAAATAAAGAATGTAGGCTTTTGTTTATCGAGGGTTAGATTCCCTCCCTTTCCTTAATATTCTAAACGGTTCCTAACTTTGCCCTGAAAATCGTAATTAGGCTGCATCGTTTAACGGTAAAATGATATTTTAGCTTTTACATGTGATCCACCAATTCCACTTTAGCCATCACGTTCTCAAATTTTGCCTTTAAAACACAAACGTAGATTGATATTACAAACTTTATGTATATAACGTACAATAATTTTGATTAAATATCTTTTTAAACTCCAATATCTAATAGACATAAATTATAAATTCTTTTAACATATAGTTAACGCGCCACGCAGGTAAGGTACACTAATAATAGCAATAACCTAGTTTATAGAAAATCAACTTGACCACTATTTTGCAAACACGTTTGACCAATATGTGGCGGGGGACAATTAATTACGGTAGTTCCAGTAGAGTCATAACATATGATAATCTCATACAACAGCGTACGAGGTTTTTTCTTGTTTTGTTTATTGATCTTGCATCTTATCTGAATCTGGCTTCTTGTAGCTCCAACAATGGATGAATTGACTCCATAGATGTTAACAGTCGATTGTCCAGAAGGCGTGCATACTGCAGGCTGAATTCCGCTTTGTCGGAGTGTCCGTAAAATGTAGTGCTCATTCTTCAAATCTACAGCCAAATTGAAGTAGGCCTCATAATCTTTTGGTGTAGTAGAGCATGTGCCGTGTTCTACCCATTCATGCTTCCAAAATGACTGTCCACGTGCTCCTTTATAATTTAGCTGAAGTAGATCAGGCCAACCAGATTCTAATCTTGAAATCAAATTTTGATCCTGGACAAGAAATCAAATTCCATTTCTATGTGTTAAATCAATGTAAATATACAATAATTTAAAATAAATTTTAAAAAAAGGGTAAAATGTTACCGTAATAGCATGGAAAGCTGCGCCGGCACAATTACTCAACTGCCCAATGTAGTTGTCGGGCCACAGTCCGTGAAGTGTGAAATTGTTAGGAGTTCGGAGACATTTTCTATTCTTTAAATCACAAAAGGCCTTAGGCCATTGTTGAACCATCTTGTGATAATCTAATCCCTCCAATACGCACAAGCTGGAAATAATGATACTAAATAGTAGGAATATGGAAATGTATGTCGTTCGCATCATATTGAGGATGGCTTTTGGCTAAACAAAACAAAAATAAGTCACTAAGTTTGTCGTCAACAGTCCAAATTTTACTTCAACTAAATACAATGTTAAACTGAATTAACATTGCTTGATAAACACCAAAACATACCAAAACTGTCCTTTAAATTGTCAAAGTTTGAGACATTATGTGGTATAATAGGGTAAAAGTCTTTTATAAAAAGTCTCGACCTATACATACCATCTCAAAATAATAGGGTAAAAGTCTAAAAGATGTTAGTATAGTAACTAAACTTTTATCAAAGATTCACGTTAGTCAACAAACTTTATTTTCCTTCAAACCGCTCACCGGATTTTGCTTTTTATCTTAGATTTGTCACTCAATTATATTTCTTTAATTTTTCTAACGGAGTATTAGACATGGAAGACCTCAACATCAACATCAACGAAAATTTCTTTTGCCATGTCAACATTCTGTTAGAAAAATTAATGAAAATTTATTGTGTAAGAAATCTTAAACAAAAACAAAAATGCAGTGACTATTTCAAAATACAATAAAGTTCGTTGACTATCATAAAACTTCTCTTGAGTTGAGTGACCCCTAGCATTTGTATACCCTATTATTCTGAGATGGTATATGTGCAAAAATTAACATCGATTTCAACTATTTTATCATAATATATTGCTAAGATGAAAAGGAAGGTCAAGGGACTTAGCTAATTAATTGGTCAAACGAGACAGTGATGTATGCTACAAGAGAGATAAAAGGATAGCTAGAAACATATAAAACCCTAGAAATTAACATAAGAATATCTAAATAATGGGAAAACTACATTATGAAATGCATCAAATCATAAACTGAAGAAACCATTGTGATCAATTCGAACACAGCAAACATTTTCAAAAGTTGACCCTTGTGTGTGATCATCTCTAATTGTACATTTATTGAAATTGTCAAAAATGATAATTTTGAAAAAAAAATGGTCTTTGAATCCTTATACCTCAAAGGTGAACTACAATACTTGAAAAGCTTTCCCTTGCAATACGTCCAATTCCCAGAATCACAGAGCCCAGAACAGAATTTTGGCGTTCAAGAAGGTGACTTGCCTGCTAGCTTGTTCTCAATCCACCTCACCTATTTAAGTCATGAAATAGAAAAAGTTGATCTTTAGTTTTTCACTGAGAAGAACATAGTTCGGAAAGTTTTGTGAAAAAATAAAATCTTAATTGAGATTTAAGGTATTAAAGTGAAGAAATATGGCTACTGGTGCAAGAAACTAAAATCAAAATGGGAAACTTATACTGATTTTTTATTTTCTTGTAAACAGAAGTTGATCAGAAGAAAACTAACTCTATCTGAAACTAAAGAATGGAAGAAGAGGAGAGGATTAAAATGGAGACAAGGAATGACATATTAACAAGCTTTACCTTGTTCTTCCGAGCCCTCCGATTGGATTTAGGGGTGGTTTTATAATGAATAATGAGTATAGCAACCATTGTATGTGCATGTTTGTGTGGAGATGATGTGTGTTTGAATTTTTGTCACATTTCCATTTTTGATCATGTACTTAATTTCTAAACACGTGATATCGTATCCTCGACTATTCTTATTTGGTTTGTTCCATGTTCTCTTTAATTTAGTTCTTATTTGGTTTGGGAACTAAGTGGTATTAATAATATTGGATGGTACATCGTAAATCAAATCATCGTGAGTTGTTGTAGAAGGTGAAGAAAATGTTGAAAATGAAAGATAAGAAAATTTTCTACTTATAAAATAACTTGAGGTGCAAACTATTGACTATTAAAAGAATACCTCTATGACATCTTCTACAAACCATTTCACTAAAATGATTACACCAAATGAATAATGTTGTTGTTATTATTATTATTAAGAATTAATTTAATTCAAAAATGAATTAATTAAAAATAATATTACTACTAAAATTTGTAATTATCAGATTTATATTTTTGAATTTTAATGTGTAATTTTACTTTATTGTATTCAATAGGTATTATTTATTATAGATGTTAGTAAAAATAATAACAATTTGAATTATGCAGTACTAAACAAAAGTTCGCCTTAAATACAATATTATTGGCGGTGACATATAACCAACCATTACCATTTCAATCTACCAACGACTATCCTTAATTTAACCATTTTTGGTAAGTGGACCAAACCCTTGTCATTGCATGAAAAAAAAAAATTATTATTATATCACTTCAGACAGTAACAAACGGTAGAATAGGTTAGGCTTATATTTTTGAACTAATTTGTTTTCAAGCGTATACGTCCATCTCTCTTCTTTTGTAAATTCTCTGTCATTGTGCTTCTTTGTCACAAATTTGTTCTTTTCACACTTGATTTTTCTCCTCTGGTTACCAAAATGTAATCCTTGTGCACTTTCACATGGAAGTCCACATTTGTTTTCAGTTTGAGACGGAGTTGGTAACGTTTTGTTTGGTCGGATTAGAGTTAAATATTGATGGCTGGCACGTGGTTCATGTAGATTATTTGAAAAGTGGTCATGAGAATATTAAATTACTGAACCGTATGAGTTAATTTGGCATGGCTTGTTTCGTGATGATCTATGCTACGACCTATTAGTAGATTAATTTATTCAATGGAGAAATGATACTGGATGAATCACAAACATGTGGCGGTCTTCAATGATGTTCAATACAATTTATCGAGTTTAGTAATGTAAAAATGGGTTTAGATGATCAAGTTTGAAATGATCTGGCATGTTAAAAATTCGAACCTTGGCTAATTCTTAGGTTGGTCCGTCATAATAGGTGATTCGTACCAGACTCCATCTCGACGTCATATGAGGTCTAGTCCGGTTGGTCCAATTTATTAAAAATGAAAAGGCAAATATGTGAAGACAATACAAGATAAGTTGATTGGAGATAATTTTTGAAGACTTTACTAGTTCTATCACAATATATAACAAATTATCTACCAATATATTGTCTTATTCTAAATTTTTTAAAACGATTTATCCACTAAACGATAATATGCATAGAACCTCATTTTTCCTGTTCCCACGTTAATTTCTTGTATCATCTAACTTTGCAAAACTATTGTACTATTATTATTCTATTTTACTCATTTCATATGTAGTGGCGGAGTACTCCGGTTGAGTGAATGTCCACTCTAAGTATGAAAAAATTCATACACAAAATATAATAATATTAAAGTACAAAGTAAAGAGAAAAGTCATTATTTTTTTTTCTAAAATAAGTGGGACCAAGGACCCTAATGGCCCCACCCCCTCCATCACTGTTCATATGCATGCAATATTAACAGAGCACACTATCATACAGATTTTGGACATTTATTTCAATTTCTTAAAAATAATTAAGCGCCTCTCACAAATTGCATAGACAAGTTGTATCATGATAAAATAAATATTTATCACTCTCCATCAGAAATTAATGAATAGCAAAGATAAGAAAACATTTTTAAAAAAATCCACAAAATGAATGAAAATATTTATAATGAGTAAATAGACGCCATTACAATTTTAGTATAATTATATATTTTTTTTAATTTACCCTTTTAGTTTATACAAGATTTTTATAATTTTCAACTATACCAACATTTTTCTATTGGAGAGAATTTCTTTTTTTCTTTGCGAGTTTAATGCAACAGCAAATAAATTGTCATTGCCATTGTCAATATTCAAAAGTAATAAAGTAAAAATCACTTGTCAAGAATAGGATTCAAACCCATGTCCCTTCGGACAAGGACTTGTAACTTGCTTAGACCATCTTGACCTAACTGCATTGGGGATACGAAATATTTTATATATTAGGATTTTTAGCNNTATAATAGAACCAATGCTCAATATCATCGTTTAGAAATATTTTGTAGGAATACTTATAGCTTGTACAGTGTATTATATTGGGATATTTTAGCTACAATCCATTCACGTGCTATTCTAGGTATATAAATTGCTATAGTCAATTATAGCTAAAATCAGCAATGGCTATTTCCTTCATTCTTGTTTGCGTCTTTGATTTTATTCATAATGTTTATAAGTTGATAGGTGGAATTTGTTATGGAATGAGCCAATCTACAACAACCTGATGATACAACTTATACCACTTGTTATGACTATTAAAGACAAGAAATATGGGCAAGATGAAAATAATAAATCACATAAGAACTTAAAATTTACGTGGAAACCCAAATCATGGAATACAACGAGCTGAGGTGGAGAATTCATTATAATCAATAGTAAATAAGTACAAAAGGATCTCACAAGACTCTCAACCTATCTCAAAGTATACGAGTCTCTCTCTCTCTCTCTCTATCTTAGATCTTCTCACTTTCATGTTCTCTCAATGCTATATAATGTTTTGCTATTATATCTCTAGGCTTATATCATGTGGAGTATGTATAGGAGCCTAATTTTAGTGTTTTGAATCAAATCGAATACACAAATTTCAATTCGAATAGCAATGGGAGACTTTTCTCCCTAAATGGTCACGCCCAGGCGCCACTGAGCTGGCGCCAAAGCACCACAGCCAGCGCCTAATCGCCGTGACCCAGCGCCTAGGCGCCATCTCTCTGATGCAAAAATGTATAATGCCTTTTCATCCATTCCAAAGGCTTTGTCCAATCAAACTTTCAATCCTTGATGAATTTTGATCCCTTTATAACTTCCCATGCCATACAAAAATCGAATTAGAGCTTTATCCACAGGCTGCTAATTTAGGAAGTAGTTGACATGATTAAAAAGAATTAGAACGAATCATGAGATAATGCTTTGGAACCTAAACAGTTTAGGTTAAAAAATGTATGCCTAGTCATCTATTTGTTCATCAAATTGAGAAAAGCTTTAAAAAATATAATTCAAGTTATTTAAAACTGACATTTTAGTCCGACAGTTGTTCTATTTTCCTTGTATAATTTTCATTTTTAT